AGTCCCATATAATCTGGGATGTTTCCGGTTTAGAATCATCTGCCCTTGATCAGTTAAGCAACATATTCACAGATTTCAGGAACCAGAATGTCCAAATCATCAGGGGTCACTATTCTACCACAGCCATTTCATCTTTTAACTAATCATTATTTTTGTTTTATTTAGGGGCTGGAGAGATGGCTCAGCAGTTAAGGGCACTGGTTGCTCTTCCAGAGGTCCAGGGTCTGATTCCCAGCACCCGAATGGCAGCTCCCAACTGTCTATAACTTCAGCTCCCGGAGGACAACACTCTCTTCTGGCCTCCACTGACATCAGGCACACAGGTGTTACACATACAGACACACAGGCAAGACAGTCAGACACATAAATTAAAAAACAAAGCCGGGCGGTGGCGATGGCGGCCACCACCCTTCTCCCTCCTTCTCCTGCACCTTGCCCGTCTGTCTGTCTGTCTGTCTCTGTCCCCTCCCCTGACTCCCACCTTCAATGACTGATATATCAAAATGGCCCTTGATAAATGAAAGCACCTTGATCCTGGGCCTTTTCTGCCTCTAGAACTGTGAATATTACATTTTTACTTATTATAAATTACATAGTCTCAGGTATTCTGTTATAATAGTGCACAATAGGTTAAGATAATGAGCATACTCACACAGAGGATTAAACAGAAATATAGACAGTAATGAGTGTTAATTATAATATGCTTTATTTTTGTCATATCATCATTATGTGCCTGTTTATGCAGTAGTGTGTTTCATAACTTTCAAGTACTTGGATATGTTTCTGTTATATTTTCTAATCTGATTCTATGATCATCAGAGAAAATGCTTTATATGGATTCAATTCTTCTCATCTCTTTTCTTTCTTCCCTATATTTAGAAATCTTTTTAAAATTTAATTTTGAGCTCTTTATAGATTTGCATGCAGTTGTATGCAATAGCGCATGAAGAATCCACCTGCCTGTTTTTTTTTTGTTTTGTTTTGTTTTGTTTTGTTTTGTTTTGGTTTTTCGAGACAGGGTTTCTCTGTGTAGCTTTGCGCCTTTCCTGGAACTCACTTGGTAG